CGACTCACTTCAATGTTCGAAGCAGACGATGTTGCTGGACGAGAAATGCCGTTGAATTCGATGACGTCGTATCGATGAGGAACACTACGTCGGCATCGGAATTCGAACATGTCACTGGAATCAGATCCGGTAAGGGATAAGGAATCCTCTGAGTAGCCCTGATCGAAAAACCTTTCTAGTAAAAAAAAACCCCGCGACAAAACACCGTGAAGATCTTCCAGTATCTAATTTCTGAAGCCGCACTCGGAAAAGCTATCAACTAAACACTTGAGAAATGCGCAGATGATAAAAACCGACTATTTCATAGACACTTCCGAGCTCTAAACATTCACGAAGTCCGCTGAGATAGAGTAATAGCTGATTTTCTCTAAAACTCTGCAGTTTGGCGTTGTGTTGGAAAACTATCCACTCCATTTTAGTCCGATTTGATCGCACATTTTGTTATACCAAAATAAACAAATTGAGATTCTATAGGCTTATGAATTTGGCCCTAGAAAACAACTAATTGCAGAGGAATGACAATCTATACGGTAAAGCTAACTGTTCGTACACCCACGCATGACATTCACCAAAAGATCTCATCAATAATTCGGAATGATAGTATGCAGATCAAATTACTTAGCACCTAAGGCAAAGAAAAAAGTAATGCTAGGTAATGCTTTAAGCACTACAAGCAAAAAAGCACAATATTATTGTCAATGTTTCTTCCGACAGAAGTGTGTGGGTTATAAAATTTTGATGGCACCAAAATTTGCACGTCCTGGAGGTGCCAATGATGAGAATGGTTCACTCATGTTTCGCCAAAAACTCACCTCATGATGTTTTTGTCCCACTTGTTTCACGTATTATTTTTTCATTTGATTCTATTATTTCAACCACTTCCCTTGAGCAGTCGCCCGAATGACACTGGGCTCTCCTCCTTTTCTCGTTGGATTTACCGGCCCGAACGCTCTAACTTTGGATTAAAAATTTTTGCGCACCCGCCGTTCTTGGTGGGCGGAGTCCAGTCCTGCCATCCGGCGC